GCAAAAAATAACACTGCCTTTAGAAAGGAGAACTAGGTAGCTGGGAGAAAGGATTGGAAAAAAAGACTTATGTACTTTTTGAAATTAGAATAAATGTATTACATATTAAAAAATAAAATTAAGTCAACAACAAAAATTAAATATAGATGTTAATATTTAGGAAATAAACAGAATTTCTAGAAATTGATTTTAAAAAAAGATAAACCTAGTAGAAAAATGGTCAAAGGGTCTCAAAACGCAAGTCACAGTAGAAATACAGATAACCTATAAATATCTGAAAGGATGATCAACCTCTTTGATCAAAGAAAAACAATTAAGAAATATTCAAAATGGCTAATAATATCTAGTAAGGCACTAGGTACTCTCAAATACTGTCAGTGGGAGTATAATTTGTTAGAAACTTTTTGGAGGGCAGTATCAACTAAAATTTACAATGTTTATGCCTATTGAAACATCTTTCCCATCTCTAGAAAGTTATCCTACAGAAGCACTCCCACAAGCATGCAAAGGTACATGTATGAAGAGGTTTCCTTCAGCACTGTTTTTATCAGCTAAATATTGGGAAAGATACTTGTCTTTCAATGGAGCATTGGTTAATTAAATGAAAGTACATCAATAAAATGGAATACTTTTCAAAAAGCTTTTCAAAAAGAATAAGGAAAATCTATACGAACTGGTAGGAAAATTATTCAACATACATTATTTAAAAAAGCAAGTTGCCAAAGAACATGTAGTTATAAAATGATTTTTGAGGACCACAATAGATTATTTAACATTTGACTGCACAGGGGGACTTTTAGATCGGTATGAAATGTTTGAATTTGGCATGTATTACTTTTGGAATAAGAAAAAATGAAAAAATACTTTAAAGAGATTGCTGGTGAACGAGACTTATTGGTCCACAGTCTGTGGATTTCACTCTCTAGTGTACATGGCAGGAATGTGTCTGGTGCTTCCAATACTGTGGTTCTGGCCTCAGACTTTTCCCTGTTTCTCCCTGAAGGCATGGTATGAGTAGGGCTAAATAGAAAAACTGTATACCTTTCATGTTAAAGAAGTCCAAAAAATTGGTAAGAATGCTAGTATAATTTGATATAATTGTAAATTACAGAAAAATTATGACATTTTCCTATATTTAGTGGTTTAATGGAACTTTTCTACATAGCGTAGTGCTATGATTTCAGAGACATTGTTATTTTAAAGGATAGCCTCCTAAAACGGCTTTCATTTGTATTTTTGAAAATAAATTCTCTATATTCTCCCACAAAGACTCTGTGTAATCTTTATGAAGCCCCTTATGAGGAGGAAAAGGTGGCCCCCAAATACAGTTTTCATTAGGAAGGAGTCTTCATCTGGAAGGAGTATTCTAGATGCAGGTCCAACCACAGTACGACATAGTGCTAACAGTTCAGGTCTTTCTCGAAAGACCCTATTTCATAGACGAATGCATCGAGAATCAAGGCTGATGAGTCAGTTTCAAGGTGGGGTAAGGCCTGCAGTCAGAATACAGGAGGCCATGCAACTCTCACTAGTGAAGGGTACAGAGTTGCTGGAGGTTTGCATAGGAATTGCTCTCCCTTGAGATGACTGGAGCAAAGATTATGATGCTAAGGATTGCAGAGGCTGCTACAGCAATAGCCCAGAACCTAACAACGGGCAAAAGATTTCCTGACATAGTTATAGCAAGGTCCAGTCTAGTACCTGCCCACTGTGAATTCAGGTTTAGGTGAGCACATCCCCTTCTGCCTCTTTCAGGGCTCCATCTGCTCCCCTATTGCTGCCATCTTTGAGGGATAACACTGTGTTCTAGTGAGCAGTACAGTGATGGGCATGGGGCGGGGTTCAGTAAATGTTAAGTAAATTAATGCCCTCACCCTCAGTTTTTTAATTTTTTTTTTGACAGAGTCTCGCTTTTGTTGCCCAGGCTAGAGTGAGTGCCGTGGCGTCAGCCTAGCTCACAGCAACCTCAAACTCCTGGGCTCAAGCGATCCTCCTGCCTCAGCCTCCCCAGTAGCTGGGACTACAGGCATGCGCCACCATGCCCGGCTAATTTTTTCTGTATATTTTTATTTGGCCGATTAATTTCTTTCTAATTTTAGTAGAGACGGGGTCTCGCTCTTGCTCAGGCTGGTCTCGCACTCCTGAGCTCAAACAATCCGCCCGCCTCGGCCTCCCAGAGTGCTAGGATTACAGGCGTGAGCCACCACACCCGGCCTCACCCTCAGTTTTGAATGGATGCTTTCAGCTGCAAGGATGAAGGTAATCTGTATTCTGGAGAGTGCTCACAGGTACAGGCTTGCATGTGCATGTGGTATGTATATAACAGGCTGAAAACCTCAGGAGCTCCCTGACCTGGGTCTTAAGAGCTGGCAGCAGGAGATATTTGAGCACTGAAAAAAAAGAGTTTTATTGCTCTTTATGCTCTAGGCTCAACTGTTACAGCCTCTGCCTGAACTTCCCTCAGAAGGGTACTTGTCCTTGTTCAAGGACATCTGGAGCCCTGGAAGAGCCCCCCTGACTGCATACGAGAGGTGCTAGGAGAGCAGTCTCTCCATGAAGAATGTATCTGTCTGCTGAGGGCCACATAATAGCCAGGAACTGAGACCAGCCTAGACAAAAGTCATTTCTTTTGCTTTAATAGTATTACCTGATGTTTTGTTACATCCAAAACAAACCAACGAGGCTTCCACCCTTTCAGCAAGGCCCCTCTTTTGTAAAGCGTTCCTTCAAAGGACCTAGAAGAAAGGATGATATAGGACGGTTAATTCTGAGTTTTCATTTAAAAAAAAAAATTCTGGAAAGGGATGTCTGTTTCTGTTTGTCAAGTCTCTACTTCTCCCAGATGATCCAAAAAAGTCAATCAGAATTCTCCCTGGAATTTTTCTACTAGACCTTTGGGGAAAGACTGCCTCTTTCTGCTGGGGTTACCACATTTGTGAGGCTTGGAAGTATCAGTAGCCACCTCTGTGCCACAATGGGATTGATGTGGCAAAGGGAAAAGCACAGCTGGGAGACAGACACAGCCTGAAGATGCTATAGGAGAAACCAGCATGCCCTTGGCTGTCCTAGTTTATGAGAGTACATTCCTGTTTGCTTCAGCTGGCATAAGCTGGTTTTCTGATGTTTGCCACTGACTAACACATATTCCCTCAATAGCTCTGGCAGATAAATAATAACAATCAGAACTCAACCACAGATAGCTACAACTTCTTGGCATTATTTTTAATTGAAATTTTGATTTTTCTTCTTCAAAGAACCATCTAAAGCATTAAACAAAGAATTAAAGCAAATACAGTTCAAGTTTGCTTATTGAAGGGCCTGTGGTTTAGCCTCAGGCAGCATGGGGAGAGTCTTTGGAACACCCAGCAGGGCTCAGCAGGTCACCTGTTTTCATCATTCTTGGATGTGTACTGGCTATAGAGCGTGGCTGCTCTTCGGTCCACTCCATTGGATGGGGGGATGCTGGCATTCTGCTCCTCCCCCATGCTGCTATCTGGGAGATGCAGCAGAGACCTCTTCTGATAGGAGGGTAGGTTGGTAGACATAATTCCTGGGGACCCCGATGGGTGTCTTGGGGACTAAAAAAGACAGAACAGGAGCTGGGAAAGGTTTACAGACACTTTAAGCCACTGACTCAATAATTTCATTTATTAAAATTTACCTCAAGTAAAAAACTGGACTAATGAGCAAAGATGTATGTTCAAAGATATTTATCCTGGTTGTTTATAATAGTAAAAAACTGGAAATAACCTAAATGTCCATTATTAGGGGACGTTGAAAAAATTATGGCATTTCCATACAATGGAATTCTAGACAGTCATTAAAAATGATGCTGATTTATACACAGTGACAAATGGAAGGACATGTATGCCAATGCTGAGCAAAAAATAAAGCAGGTTTAAAAACAGTATGTATAGTAAATCCCTTTTATATGTGGGTTTAGAATGACGAAACAAGTTTGATAGCATAGTGGTTTATTTCTAGGTTATAAATTGTGGGTGATTTTCATCTTCTACTTTATAATTTTCTGTGTATTATCTTTAAAAAAATAAATATGCCTTATTTTCATAATCAGAAAAACAGTCAAGAAACTATTTTATTTTTCTGAGAAAAAAAGTATTAGAGCATCAGCCAACTGTAGTCTGATAACAGCTCCTGAGTTGCCCTTTGAAGACTAAAGAGACAGCACTGGAGAGGGTCCCTTTTTACCACAAAGGTTTTCTTTTACACTCCATTTTTCTTGACCTCTCTATGACATCTGACCCTACTGACCTCTTCCTGAAATGCTCTTCAGAACACTCATCTGTCCTAATTTCCCTTCTGTTGCATTTGGAGCCAATCTGATGTTCAAATGGTGGCTCCACCAATTGCTAGCTGTTTGATCTCTCTGTGCCTATTCCCTCACGCAGGAGGTGGAATACCACTTTTTCACCGTGGATTAAATAGGATGTGAATGTGTGTGTGGTATTAAGCATAGTCCCTTGCACATATTATGTGCTTGATAAATGTTTCTTAAATCAGAAACAAGAAATAGGGTGTGAAAGGCAGAAAACAGACTATTTGGTTCTAAAATATTTTTATGATAAATGTTTCTTAAATAAGAAACAGAAAAGGGATTGTGAGTAACTGAAAGTAGCATATTTTGTTGTTTTAAAATATTTTTAATTTCTCTCTTTGCTTATTTCTCTGGAGCAAACTTTGTCTTAGCATTCCACTTCTCCTTCATGTGGTAGATGATCAGTGGAAACCACAGAGGCACTGAGATAGAAAAGAACCTAGTAATTTCCCCTGGATTCAGGGCTCTGAAACATAAGTATTATGTCACTGTGGTGAAGTGAGACACTCAGAAAGTATTCAGTCATTTGGAACTTTCTGCCCTGGACCCCCAGAGCATGATTTCTCCCTTTTTGCCCTTCCTTCTAGCCAGAAACCCAGCAGGGTCCTGTCACCTGTGGCAGTGGACCCTACCTGACTTAGCACCCTCAAAAAGCTCAGAAGCAGCTCTCAAGGGGCATTGCCAACTCACGCGGTCTGCTCTTGGTTCTTCTTTAAGGTCCACTGTTACCCTTTCCCACAGGTGCTGCCACTTCTCAGGGGTTTGGTTCAATTTATGCTCCAATTTTTCAATTTCCTGCAAAGAAATGGAGTTTTCCAACAGATCAGTATTTGACAGAAATTAGGATGTGCCTCAGAGCCACACTGCTTCTGTATTGGGCCCAGATGCGTAGTGTGGCCAGAGGGCAGCTGAGGAGAGTGGTGGACATGGGCCTCAGAGGTCTCCCCAGTTAGGAATAGTGGTGGGAGCTCTAGTTGGTGTGATGCACTGTGGCAAAGATGGTTTTTTAGAGCCTATAACCAGGCCTTTCTGCACAGAATAGCTTATAGCTTGTACAGTAAGACATGAAATATATGTATCCCAAACACCTTCACCCTTGGGCAGACCATGGGAAATCTGATGGCCAAGGCAAAAGATCAAGCACTGAGCCAACCCTAATAGATGAGCTAGATCAGAAGTCTGTCCTTGACAGAGGAGCCCCTCATTCTGATGACTCAAACCAGATGTGGGAAGAATGAACCAAGAAATGCCCAAGGAAATGGATACCCCTTCTGACAGAGAAGCTGGAGATCAGACCAGCTGCCTCTGTGAAAGCATGATCATGGAAGCATCCTCTTTCTGGTCAGAAAACCAGAGGGAGAAGACTCTTCAGGAACTGTCTGACCCATATCAGGGCTCAAAACCATTCCTCAGGGTGACTACTGCCAGGATGGTTTCACTCCAGAATATTTCTTGCATAAAGAAGGTGGTTGGCAGTACTCCCATCTGGCCATCAACTACCCACACTTCGACCAGAGGAAGTAAAGCACCCACGAAAACCATAGTCCAAGCTTGACTCAGGCTGTGCGGGCATCTGAAACAGCCGGGAAGCCGCCGGAAGGAGTAAATTGCTCCACTTGCTCGACTGCTTCCTTGTAATGCTGGAAACTCACTTTTATTGAGATTCTCTTCAAGTACTTAAGCTTGGTACCCCACTAATGTGGGGGAGCAAATCTGGTTTTTTCATACTCCAGGAGTACCTCTAATGCTAGTCCAGAGCAAGGAGAACTATGTTCAGAAGTTTGTAAACCAGTCTTAGTTTAGCCTGGTTCCTCTGGCCTCATGTGTCTCTGGGGCCTACGGCCCTAGGTGTGTGTCTGTACATGGCTGACTTACACAGAAAAGGCTGGTGAGAGCATCGGGCTGAGTGCAGCTGACATCATCGTAGCATGGCCACACTGTTCTCCTCTGGCTCTGGGGCCCAACTCCTCCAGCCAGGTCAGAGTCTTCAGAGGGGAAGTGCCTGGGGGTCAGCATCATCCAGTCATAGGAAGGCCCTGAGGACAGGGTCTCCTCTGTGTAGTAATCCCACTTTCTGAGGCTGGAGACATTTACACTGGGCTTCAGGGCCTGTTAAAGAAAACTGAAATATAGTTTCATCTTGACCCCAAAGTACCCCAAGCTTACTGACAGGCCAGCCCCTAACATTTGCAGGGTCTAGGGCACGAGTATGAATGGAGGTTCAAATATCATATGCCTAAATATTTAAAAGTTATACATCAAGATAAACTATTAAATAAAACATGTTCTAGTCCTCCTACTTTGAGAAATATAACTTCCTCGTGACCTGGAAGGCCAGGTTCAAATAAAGAATTCTTGGATTCCTCAGAATTTTATACTAGGAAGTGGTGGCACGAGAGGCCCCAGCTCCCATTCCTTGGCCTGACCCCCTTCTCCTCCCACCCCAGCTATATCTTATATTCTAAGGGTCTTGCATGAATGTGTATACCCCAGCCCATGAAGCCAAACTCTGCCCATTCCCTGCCAACTACTTCTTGCCACCTTTGGGCCTCAGGATACATGCAGTGGGTTGAGACACTGACTTGGAGAAGCAGCCTGGTGAGTAGCTTGAGTTTGGGCAACGAATGTCGAAGTACCCAGAATGTGGTTTAGATGAAGGAAGGACATCTAATCATGTACCTTTAGCTTCTTACACTCCTCATGAGGAGCATGTAGTTGGACGAACGCCAAACTAGGGTCCTATGCATGGGGCCCAGGGCAGGAGCCTCTCCTAACGTATTTTAGATTTTTCTGCTTAGACCACCTGTTGGGATTTCAAATTCTGTTAGTTCTTTCTCCCTGGGGAAAGTTACCTTGCTTTTTGATTCTCTTGAAGTTATCCCTTCAAAGTTTGGAGGCCAGCTCCTAATTTTTGTGGCAAGAATTTTGTGAACAATCTCCATTTCTATCACAACCCAAATCCATAGTGTCTCAAACTTTTAAATAGCTTTTGGTATGAAACCTAGTAGAATGTTTATAAAAAGCTTAAACAGCTTACTATACTAAAACTAAGGAAAACTTTAACACAAAATGAAACATGAATGATTTCTTACTCTACCTCTATTTCCACTGGTGAATATAAATAGTTAAAGAAAATGGGACTCCTCTTGTGCATTCTGTCAATACATTCCCAAATACAAATTCCTTTCTTGGCATGCTTGTCTCCTTTATCATCAAATAAAGTTCCTGTAAATCCAAAAACAAACCCAACACAATAAAAGTTAAATAAATTAACATTTTGCCTAAAAGTATGATGTATGTGGGCAGATAAAAAAAAGTGGAGTATTTCTTATGGCTCTAAAAACAGCAACATACATACAGAAACCTTAGAAAATAACTGCAAAGCTAAAGATAGGAATGAACTTCCCAGCTATATGGAAACAAATCAAAATGAGCGGAAAATATCTGATAAGGTTTTCCTAGGCAGTTAGCAGTATATCATGACTCTTCCAATCTACATCCTGCATCTGTATCTAGATTCAAAGAGGTCTGTGGCAGGAGACATTCTACACATTTTTCAAGAGAAAATGGAAGGACTTAAGAGTTGATTTGATGAAACTCAGTTAAAAACATAATTTTATGTTTCTTTTTCAAGTTGTTGGTTGTTTATTATGAAGCCATTTAAAGTGTTTTCTTGCTTAGCAGCTTATATATACTGCAAATCATAGTCACTGAGACTCTAGATGACAGAAGGGTGTGGTCTGCATCCTTGGGTGACTTAAAAACAAAAGCAGAACTTAGGGGGGTACTTCAGGGATTTTCTGATACAAGCTTTGTACCTTTCAAACAGTCTATGTATTATGACCATGAGGCCACTTTGTTTTTAATAGGGAGGAAGATGTGTCAGGGTGAGGCAAGAGGTATTTCTTTAAAAGGCCAGAAAGGCATGTCTCGTAGCAATGCCGGCTTGCTTTGAATGAAATGTCTTAGTCAAAAATCAACAAGTATTTTACCAGTTTATCAAAAAAGAATGTCTCAAGCCCAAGGTTGTTTTCTTCTCTACCTTTTAACTCTAGGGTCCAGTGCAGTGGTTCTCAACCTTGGTCACACATTAAAAAACCAAGGGCTTTTAAAAATCCCAATGCCTATGTCTCACTTCAGACCAATGAAATAGGAATCTCTGCAGATGGCCCTAGATATTAGTCATTTTAAAAGTTCAAGTGACTCTAATGTCCAAAGTTGAGATTGCTCTAGGAGTTAGATTTTTTTTTTTTTTTTTTTGGTAGAGACAAGATCTTGTTATGTTGCCCAGGCTGGTCTCAAACTTAAGGCCTCAAAGGATCCTCCCACCTTGGCCTCCCAAAGTGCTGGGATTATAGTTGTGAGCCACTGCACGTGGCCTGGAGTGGGTTTTTAAAGTCACCTCATTTATGGCTCCACCTGTGGCCTTGAGGCATGGATTACATTGCAGGGCCCTGTGGTAGTCAGCCTCAGTTGGAATGGGCTCTGGGCACCTTTGTACACAGGAAGAGAATGAACTGAAACCAGAAGAGAAGATGCAATACCTGGCCCTCCATTCCTCAGGGCAGCACTCCCTCCCCCTTCTCAGCCGTGTTAACACCTGGTAATTGGAACGAAGTCCAATGGAATTTTCTTATAATGCCCACATGGCTGGCTTAGAGCAACATGTACACATATAGGGAATAGCTCTAGTCATCAGATAGCTAGTGTGAAATCATATCAAATTACAGCCCTATAAGCCAGTATGTGATATTAATCTTCTAGGACACAGGAGAGTTCATTGTGTGTAGGCTTTTCTGATGAAATCTTAAAAGTTATGACTGATGAATTCCACCAGCAGTGGTTGAGGTTCCTTACTCTGCAATTCTTGATCTTGGCAGGTGGAGGGTAGTTACCACAGCTGTCCCTAAACAGAGTTTCACCGTGTAGGCTTGATAACTAGTGTGTCAACCCAAACATAACAGGAACAGACTTCAAAGCAGGCAACACATTCTGGACTAAGGACACAAACCAGGCTTCTTTAATGCTAATTAGGTGATCTGTGGACCCTTCAGACTTACCTTCTAGGATTCTAAATGCATATTTATGTGTTTTAGGAGAAAACATGTCTAAGATACAGGATGAAAATAATTACATTTTCAAATAATCATGATAATCTTTCAATGTACCCCAAACATATCCTTTTATTCACATTTTATTTAATCTTTTCAATAGCTCCATGTAATAAGCAGGGCCACAATCCTTATTCAGTTTTTTAGATGAGGAAACTGAGGCTCAGAGAGATGAAGTAATTTACCCAAAGTCACACACAGTTTCTGACCCTTAGTCCAGTGCTTTACCCATTGGACCAGTGGTGGTTCTCAGCCTTGGAAGCATAGTGTACTCGCCTGGGAGTTTTAAAAGCTGTTAATGCCTGGGAATACAGATTCCGATTTAGCTGGTTGGGGGTGTTGCCTGGATCTTGGAAGTTTTTTTCTTTTTTAATTAATTAATTTGTATATTAAAAACCTCAACAGATAAAATTCTTTTTATTAAGCCAGTAATAACATATCAGTTAAAATCCAATAAAAATAACTCATTAAAAAGGGAAAAGAAATATATTAATCTCATTTATGAATACTGTTTTAGAAATCTTAAATAAAATATTAAGAATCCCAGCAGCATATCAAAAGAATATTACATCATGAATAGATCAAAAGAGAAACTGAAAGATCACCATAGATGCTGAAAAGCCATTAGATAAAATTCAGCATCTAAATACACAGGCACTTCTGTAACATGATTAAAAACAGAAAAGTGAAGTTTAGCGCCAAAACCAGTATCATGCTTAATGACGAAATACTAGAAACCTTCATATGTAAGTCAGCACAAGATAAGAATCGTTGGAAGTTTTAAAATCTCCCCAGATGATTCTAATGTTCAGTGAAGTCTGAGAATTTCTATGCTAGACCTTCTTTCTCTAACGAAGAGAATCATCATCCGCTACAGCAGAAGCCTTATCTTTGGCCACATCGGCGTGCTAAGGTAATTTGCTGATCAGCTTAATTTAGCAAAACAAACTGCTCTATTTAAGAAACAAAAGCAAAACTACTCAAGAGACAAACACCAGTACTTCACTCACACCAATATTTGCACATGTTGTTCCTTTTAGTGATAAAGCTGAGTGACAAGGTGACTCCCCAGGTATAGGACAGTTCACTTAAGACAAGGCCTGAGGCAGCTGTAACCAGCTCTACTTAATACCTTCCTACCACACAGGTGGTTAAGAAATTAAGCTTTCTGATTGTGATGTGAAGAATGACAACTCCACGAGTCAACAGAGATCTGGAAGTATAAGCAAGGTGGGAAATGGTCTCACCAGTGCTGCTTCCCTTACCAAAAGTATGAAATATCATATGAGACGATTTCAATAGCATGCCCTGGAAAGTAGCATTTCCTGATTTCAGATTTTAAACTGAGAACATCAGTAAATACTTTCTTGCAATTGAAAGAATCCTCTTTATGATTACTCCAATAATAACGTACTGAACATAGCTGATTTTTTTCTTTGCTTATCTTAGTAACAAAAACAGTCATGAGTATCCTCCCATCCCCTCCTCCCAGTAACAATAACAAAAGTAAGAATGTAAAATTTCCTTGGGAAATGTTTTCACAGGGGCTGGCTGACTTTCAGAATCTACTCTTTACAACTATTACTATTTAAAATTTTAACAATGATAGTGATATCTAAAATTTATTGAGTACTTACTATGTGCTAGCATCTGTGCTAAGAAATTTGCAACTATTTCCTCATGTGATCATCATGGCCCCAAGGGGGTGGGTGTTATTATTGTCCTCATTTTAAAGATGAGGAAACTGAGGCTCAGAGAGGTACCTAATTCCCCCAAAGTACTCAGCTGGTAACTGGCAGTGCTGGGAATTGACCCTCGTCTGTTTGCTCCAGAGTACAGGGTCTTAACTGCTATTCAAATTGCCTCCAAGGGCAGATACTCTTCCTACTAGATTATTCCAGGCTTGGAAAAACTATTAGTAAAATGTTTCTCATAAAACAGTGATATCACTTTGAGCATCAAAATAATAAAGAGATTTAACTTTATAAAAGTGCTACAGGAACGACCACTTGCCGTAGCTAAAAGCTAACATAGCACATACTCTCAGAATCTGTGCGCTTATTCATATCCACTCTTATTCGTAGTTCAGAATTAAACCCTCTGAGCTTGTCAAACCTGGCGGTAGTTACATTATCAGAGTTTTCATTAAAAACATGTAAAACTAACAAAAAGATGGAACAAGTGCATACAAACATACCGTGCTCTAATCTTTCATAGTCTGAGTCCAGGAGAAATGTTTTAAAGCGATTAGACACATAGTGGAAAGCCAAGAACTTTAAGTAATAGAGATTGAATTCAAACTCAGTTGGATACTGGTTGTGAACCTGAAACACACAAGGCAAAGAAAAGAGTAAGAATCAAACAGAACAAAAAGTGGATGCCATGCCACTGAATGCTGACCTGAAACATGCAGGAGACCATTCAGTCATTCATTTGACAAATACCTGAATCGCTGCCACGAGTAGAGATGGGACGGGAACCAGCTTTTCTGAGCACCTACTGTGTGCCAGACACCATACTAGGGGTTTTTATAAACATAATCTCATTTAATCTCTATAGCGTGGCAAGAGAGGCTTTATTATCCCCCTTTACAATCAAGGAAGCTTAGGATCAGCAAGATTAAGACATTTATTTACCCAATGTCATTCGACATTAACTAGTGAGTCCAAATTTGAACCCTGGCTTGTTAGGCTCCGAGGTCTGTGCCCCCTTCACTATATTATACTGTGCAGGCGCCTGACAGATATAAATTAACATACATTATGGTTCTTACTTTGTAGGCACTTGTGGTGTGATAGTGTGAAATACAGGAGAAATTATTCTTACAGAAGTTTGGCAATGAAAGGATTGAAAAGAGAAGGTGGTGGCTTAAGGGGACAGCAAGTGACGTTTTCTGGACAAAAATGTGTGCATGTCTGAAAGCAATCCAGAAGGAGCCAACAAAGAGAGAACAAATTTTAGAAAAAGAGCTAATAACTAAGAAAGGCCCTGCAATAACTAAGGTAGGCCCTGCAAGAGCAAGAATGAATGAGGCTAGGGCCCAGATACAGGGACGAGCTTTGGAAGTAAGGAGGGATGGAAGAGTAGATACGTTTAAATGCCAAGGCAAAGGGGAGGAGCTTATGCCTTTTAACTTTAATTTTTCATTAGTCAATTAGTGAGGTCACTGGACATAGGAATAAGGATGAGGGAATGGTATGTGAGAGAGAGGGCATGGCAAAGCTCGGAATGGTCACTGAGCTATAGCATCCTTTAGCTAAACTACATGCAGTCTCTGTGGAGCCATTTCACACCGGCAGAAGGTAGGCTCCCCAGCACACCTAACAATGTCCTTCTGTATTGCTCAAATAATCTCTCATGACCAGTTAGAAAATTTTGTTTGGTTAAATTCCAATCATGATTGTACTTGCTTAAAAGCTGTTTCAAATGAACGCTAAAGGCAAGCTGTCTGAAAGTCAGCTTTCCTCTCCATGTTTAGTTTGGCACTGTGGCCTCACGCTTGGTCAGCTGAAGTGAGCAGGCATGTGTGTAATATGTTGATTGTTCAGTGGACCAATGGGAATTTAAAGTCACGATCTGGATATCATTGATTTATCAAAGTTTATCATCAGGTTAGGAATCCAGATTTTCTGTGATGATTAAAGTTTTCATTTTCTACATTTTTTATTGGCTTTTTAATTGAACTAAAATTTTAGTTCATAAGCAATGGATTTTAGGAAGATGAATTAAGAGTTCGACTCCTATGCAGTGGGGCTGCATACCATGGAACTGCTTCCTTGACGTGAGCCATTGGCTTTCCTGTTGCATCAGGTCTCCACCAGACAGCTTTCCATGGGACATTGTGACATGGCTCTGAACAGCTAGGTAGTAGGTTTTTAGAACTCTAAGTATTTGTATTAAGTAAGAATTTTCTCGTCAGTGAAAATGAAAGGATTAAATACCATGGGTTTCCTGATTACGCTATTTGAGCAGCTAATTATAAAGGCTAAGCATACTTGAAGAATTTATAGTTATAATTAAATGAAACTTAAGGATCAACATTATTTTGTAGCATTATAACTGGGCATAAAAATAAGTTAATCTAAGTGGTTAGATGAACTTATAATTAGCAATACTTTCTTCCATTTCTATAACAGAAAATAAAACTTTTAAAAACACCTTTTCTTTCCTTGTTTTGTTAGCCCTCTATGTGTTTGTCTTTGTCTCAGCTGTCAACCATGTTTCCTAATACGGCAATTCTCACTTAAATACTTGCTCTTATTGATACATATGCACACGGTTTGACTCTCCTCTAGGCCTGGTTCTGCGGCATTCCTGTTTCTGAAGCACTGCTCAGTCCTCAGGTTTCCTGAGTTCCCCTCAATCTGTCCTTTAATGTTATACAAAGCTCTCTAGTCTGAGCTCTTGCTTTGGAATCAATAGCCCCACCTCAAGAAGCCAATGTGCACATGATGGAGAAGAGGGTGACTCGGATTGTGGCTGGTGGGACAGAAGAAGGGGACAGTCCAACTGAAGATAGAACTTGGTTTGCTAACACTTGAGTGTCTTGCGGAGGAGAAATCTGGAGTGTGCTCGGGTGTGGTGAGCTCCAAGGACAACTGCCCCAAGAACCCTTGGAATGAACCTTCAGTAGTCCCAAGCCAGCCCCTGGCTCACCGTTTCCAGGGGAGGAAGGGCTCAGAGTTATTTCTATTCAGCCAGTTCACAATATATTCTAAAATCTTTTAAGAGCCTTTATTAAATAAAGCCTCAAAATAACATCTCTCTCAATGACTATTCTGCATAGAAACCACGTGCCTCACACCTACTTGTATCTTTTCCTTGATTATTCTCAAATTTAATATAATCAGGAATGTAATTCTGAAGACTCACTTCTGAGGTAAAGTAGAACGGAAATGATAATGAATATGACCTTAAGTTGAACTTACAGGCATTTCAGGGAGATTGTATGCTAGGATTAAAAGTGAAACTCCTCTACAAGTGGAAAAAATGCTTTCACAGCCTACTGTACTGGCCTCACCACAAACCTTTCCCTCTACAATTATGCTAGAAAGGTTAGACAATTTTCCAAGGCCTCTTGCACTTACCCTGCTGGAATTGGAATTGGTATTTAGAGAGCATCAGGGTGTGAGTGCTTGGGGCACTAGTGTGTGTGTCCTCCTGTGTGTGCCACAGTGGCACCTGTAGTTGCTAACTGCTTGGAGTTGAAAAACAATCTGTCCCTAAACTGGGGTTAATGATTAGGTCTACTGGAAGTGGAAGAGAAGATGCAGAACAATGTGTTTTTTATTCGTCTGCAACAGTTTAAGTAACAAGCATGTGAGAATTTCTTCAATGGAAAGAGAAGTCAGATTGATCTGATGCTGGGTTAATTAGTACTTAGATACCACATTTGGAATCCCACATTAAGAAACACAAGGAATTTTCTGAGATATCTTTCTACCATAATGTATGAAGAAATGAGGAGATGACTGAATTCACAAGGCAAGCTGGTGCTTAGCTTTCCAGTAAGCAAGAAAAATCACACTTTTTTTATTTAGTCCTAAAGCCCAGGGAATCAGTTTGTCCAGTTCACAGGCTTCTCCTCTTGGTCCATGGGACTCACCTAGACTCTTCTGCTGTACCACAATCCACATGCTCCTTCTGTTAAGTATTGTTTTAACAGAAATGAGCTCAGGCCAGAGAGACTTCCTCAAAGGACTTATGATACAGGGAATGAGTGAGGGTTTAGGGGTTTGTTGGCCCCTAAAGATTTTTTAACAGCTTTAATGAGGCACACTTGACCTATGAAAAGGTGCACATACATGTGTACAATTTGATAAATTTTGACATATCTATACACCTGTGAAGCCAAAACCACAATCAAAATAATGAACATATCATCTATAACTCCTAAAGTGTCCTTGTGTTCCTTTTGCCTCTCCCGGTACCTCCCTCCTCAAGCAACCCCTGGTTTGCTTTTTGTCACTACACAGAAGTTTGCATTTACTAGAACTTGATATATATATGAATCATAATTATGTATTTTTTTTATCTACCTTCTTTTACTAAGCATAACTATTTGAGATCCATTCATGTTCCTGGGTTATTAGTATTTCATTCCTTTTTATTGCTGAGTATTTTCCATTGTATGGATATACCACAATTTGTTTATTCATTTACTTGTTGGTGGACACTGGGCTGTTTCCAGATTTTTGGCCATTACAAATGAAGCTGCTATGAAGAATTATGTACAAGCCTTTGCATGGATATAAGCTTTTGCTTCTCTTGCATAACTGCCTGGAATGGAATGGCTAAATCATATGGTTGGTGTATGTTTAACTTTTTAAGAAATGGCCAAAATGTTTTCCAAAAGAGCTGTACAATTTTATATTCCCACCAATGGTGTTTGAGAGTTTCAGTTCTCCACATCCTTCCCAACATTTGGGGAGGTCAGTTTAAAAAATTTTAGCCATTAAAATAGGCGTGTAGACAGGGTGTAGGGTGGGAAAAAAAATAGGCATGTAGTCATATCTCATTTGTGATTTTAATTTGTATTTCCTAATGAAGAATGATGTATCTTTTCATGTGCTTATTTACTATTTGTATATTTTTGCCCATTTTAAAAAATAGGTTTTTTTTTTTTTTTT